CATCACTTCCTCCTCTAAACGCCTTGAAATTGGCCTCTGTCTCTTTAAGAACCACCTTCTGCTTCTGTTCTGTCCCGTTCGGTGGTGGGGGGTGGGTGGGGGGTCGCATCTGAAAATACATTTCCTCAAAGGTATTTTTAATCTGAAAAGAGCTTCACTGAATGAAAACTAGTGTTAGGAGTTCTGCAGACAGTTAGGTTTCACTTTCACTTTCACCCAAGAGAACCGCAGGAGTCATGGGCGGGGTGTGTGGGGAAGGGGAGGGGCTGCACTCTGCCATGAGGAAGTTCGGCTTAAAGACACGTCCCAGGAGCGTTTCTGGTACCAAAAGGCGTTTCTGGTCCCAAAAGGCATTCCTGGTCCCCACCTGTCGTTTTGCTCCTCAGCATGGCTTCATAAAAACGCTGCAGGATTTCTCAAACATGCATGAATGAGTCAGAGCAAGGCTTTGGGCATGTTTTTTTATGAGAGTATAACATTATAACATGATATAAAACTCAAAAAAAGTTGATTTTACATGAAATTGCCCCTATAATGATTTAATGTGAGTCAGTGATGTCGTGCTGACAGCCAATCAGGATCCAGTAGAACTTTGTTCCATCGATCACAGCTCAGCTGCACACACTAACTTGTTTACCATGGGTCTTAACATAGGTGAGCACTGAGCACAAGTCAAGTGCACCCAGTTTTACATCAAATGGATAATGTAAGGTTTTGTGCAGTGACTACTGGAGGTGTTTGTTGTGAGAACGCTGGTGGAATTTGAGCCCACCGCAGTTCCTGAAAGACTTCCCACACTGTCCGCAGAGGTACGGCTTCTCTCCGGTGTGGATGCGGAAGTGCCGGGTCAACGCTCCGGAGTGGCGGAAACACTTGGCGCAGACGGAGCAGGTGTACGGTCTCTCTCCCGTGTGGATACGAAGGTGGGTCTTCAGATTTTCTAGGCGGTTGAACTCTCGGTTGCACACAGTGCAGCGGAAGGGGCTGCAGCCCGGTGGGTACAGCTGCAGCTTGGACCGTGGGCCTCCTGGTACCGGCACAGGACAACGCTGCTGGAGCCTCTGGCGGCACTGACCGTAGTGCCTCCGCAGCAGACTGGGCAAGTGGAAGGTCTGGCTGCAGAACTTACACGTGTGGACGGCAGCCAMGTTCCGGACCGTCCGGACATGGACTCCGTAGACTTGGGGAGGAGCTTGGGATATGGCAGTTGGTTCTGCCACATGGGAGATGTTTGCGAACTCCGAGGKGATGGACTGGAGATCTGCAGGTAGTGGAAGGAGGCTGGTCAGGTTTGCAGGATGAGCTGCTGAAAAACATTCACATGGTAGGTGAAACAAATCATGAAATTATATTTGCAATTATAATGCAATAATTGTTCCACATATGATTTATTGTATAGAAGTCTGGGGACATGCATACAAAACAATCACTAATCCTATTTTTATTTTACAAAAAAGAGCCATAAGAATTATCAATGTCAGCAATAGTAAATCTTCTCTCCCCTGCACTGTCGATGGCGCCTATGGGCTAATATGGTTGTAGATTTTTGGCACCAACACTACAACAAGATATTTAGCTGTGTATAAAGTGAACCCTTCCAGGTTGACCAGGTTAGTAACGTAGAAACCGTCAAAACACATGAGGTCTATCAAGCAATTAAAGAATTGTTTGTAAATAAATCTTT